GGTTAGAAGAAAAAAAAATGCTACCTTTAAAATAATTTGTTACTTATATATATATATATATAAATAAACAGGCTTATCCATGTACGCTAAAAATATTTGTGTAAACCATTCACTCAGAAATTGTTAGTAATTTTCACAATTAATTACAAAGAAACAGCAAGTAATGCATTCAATTAAACATAAAATACTGAAGAATAACTGAAACAGTATTTCACAGTAAAATATACTACAATAATCTTTAACTTACAGCTGTCACGGGTCGTGGTGCGGAGGAAGCACACAAAGAGGCAGGAATCCACGATAGAGTCTTCAATTATCAAAACAAGAACAAAACACTCTGAAACGGAGGGAGACCACAACCACAATACAACTTTAACGCAAGACAAAGGAACTGAGGAAAACACAGGGCTTATATAAACACATGGAACGTAATCAGGGAGAACAGAAACAGGTGAGGAGTAATCAACTAAAACAGGTGAACAGAATAAACAATGATTAACTAAATGAGAACAGGAACTAAACAGAAACAAACACGTGACAGAGATCGCCCCCCTCCGAAAGGCACGACCTCGCGCCACATAACATCGAAGGGTGGGCGCCTTGGAGGTCCCTCAGGACAGGCTTGTACCGGCAGAGCGGGCAGCTCGGGGAGCCATGGCGGAGCTGGTAGCTCAGGAGGCAATGGCGGATCCTCCGTGGCCTTAGCAGTCTTGGCCACGGGCATATGCCCCCCCCCCAAAAAAATTTTTCTTGGAAAAAAACAGGGGGCGGGGGGGCGCTCTGGACGGCATTCAACCAACTGCCTTCTCCTCCTCAGATTCCCCTCTAGGCTCGGAGTGAAAGGCGCGGCTGGCAGGCTTGCCGTTGCGGTGTCCGGCGGGCTTGGGTCAATGGTGGCCAGCGGGCTTGAGAGAGCCGCGACTGGTGGGCCTGACTTCGTAGCGGCCAGCAACCTAGGGACCAGAACCAACCGCCTTCTCCTCAGATTCCCCTCTAGGCTCGGGGTGAAAGGCGCGGCTGGCAGGCTTGCCATTGCGGTGTCCAGCGGGCTTGGGTCAATGGCGGCCAGCGTACTTGAGAGAGCCGCGACTGGTGGGCCTGACTTCGTAGCGGCCGGCGACCTAGGGACCAGAACCAACCTCCTTCTCCTCCTCAGATTCCCCTCTAGGCTCGGGGTGAAAGGTGCGGCTGGCAGGCTTGCCGTTGCGGTGACCGGCAGGCTTGGGTCAATGGCGGACGGCTG